GAGGCACCTCTTGAGGAGAGGGGTCTCGTGTGTTGACGTGAATTCTTTGTCTCTGCAGTTCCTAAAGAACAAGCTTGGAAAGAGCGAGAAGGCTGCCATCCCTTACAGCCAGCCTGTTCACGGTTTACATCTGTGTGAACAACCAAAGATTAACAGACAGAAGAGTAAATGTAACATGCCACTGACAAAGATGACCTCGGCAAAAAAGGTAGAGAACTTTTGGCAAGATTCTGTATCGCCAGAAATAATTCAGAAGCAGGAGAAAAAGCCACTTAAAAACACAGAGAACTTCAGAAATGCCAAGTCCAAGAAACCTATCACCCTAACTGAAGCGAGCCAAAAAGAAAATTATGCCGGTGCAAAATTTAGTGACCCACCATCTCCTAGTGTCCTTCCAAAGCCTCCCAGCCACTGGGTGGGTGGCACAGCCGAATCATCTGACCAAAACAGGGAGTTGATGGCAGTCCATTTGAAAACTCTCTTAAAAGTTCAAGTGTAGTTTCCAGCATCTCTTGAGTAATTGGCAAAGAAAACTCCATCCAGGAAACTTAATCATGCCTTGTTGCAATAAGAATTGCAAAAGATTGTCAAGTCTTATAATCATGTTAAAAAAAAAAAATCCTTGTATTATATTTTTTATGGTTGTGTAAATAGTGTACATCATGTATTATGTGTATATTCTTGTTCATACTTTGAGAGGTACATTTTAGTTTTGTTATGAAAGGATGTATTTTACACTGCCTGAATGGTAGATGTCTTGTATATAAAATATGGACAATTTTAAGTGTGTGCTTGACACATGAAGACTTGACTTGATTTGCACAAGGTAATGACGAATTTGGAAGGAGAGTACAGCTTTCTGATTTTAAGGTTCCAGATCAAATGTGAATGCTTTATTCATGCACTACTGACAATAGTTTTACATTCTGTGTCCCAATCAAGTGTAAACATGGAATTTTCATACAAATGTGAAGTTTTGCTCTCTGCTCTGGAAACAGTATCCGGAATTCCTGTTCATCTGTTTGTTTTTAAAGTTAACTGGAATTTGAGTAAAATTCCTACCCATCAATTTGAGCCCTGCTGATTTCTTTAAAGAAGAAAAAAAAAAAGCAGCAGAGCTTTCTGCCAAAAATCTAATTGGTCACTAGAAAATTAAATAAACAATTTGGCCTCCCCTTAAGCATGTCTCTCTTTTTCTCGTGTGTGTGTGTGTGTCTGTTAATTCGAGTATGTCAACTTAAAGTACTTCACTGCCTTCTACTGCCCCAGTAGCAATATTTTGTGCTTCTCAGTCTTTTAACTATCCAAATAATTAAGAGATTCAGTAGCTCATTAAGAATTCCTTGTGTTTTTAAAAATGTTTCCTTTGTGGTATGGCATTTTAAGTTCCTTATCCTTTTGTTCTGTGAAAATTCAGATTTCAAGAAAGTTGGGCAGTTGCGCATTCAAATTCATGCTGCAATGCTCCTTAACTATTTTCATAGTAAGCGGTTATTAAACTAGTTGATCCTGAAAAGTAGCAATGACAGAAAGGTATGGATAGAGCGAGTTAAACTTCGTATTTTTCACCAGATTTGTCTCTGGCTGAAAGCTATGCTGGAGATTACCTTCCTCTGATGTAAAATTCTTAAGGAGTTGGACCATACATTAGTCTGATGGGCATGTTGAGGAGATAACAGAGATTTGCAGGTATTTTACTAATCTACTCTGTACGTTAGTCTGATGGGCATGTTGAAGAGATAACAGATTTGCAGGTATTTTACTAATCTACTCTTAACATTAATAGACTGGGAAATACGTGAAATTTATATGAGATAGAAAAATTTTCAGATCCACTGAAAAAAAAATATTCTCTGGGCACTAGTTTACTAGGAAGAATATGTAGGAAGAAAACGCTAGCAGCAGGGTCCCAGCTGTGAGAGGGTTCCTTCGCATGAATGACTCAGAGGTGCAGAGTGAGCACGGGTAGCTACGTGGACGGCGCATGCACTACATACCGGTTGGCTACACGGATGGCACATGCACTACATGCCGTCGCTTTGGTCTGACCCTGTGAATTGGCAGTAGTTGTTAACATAGCCCTGAAGGGTGACTGGTCAAAAACTAAGAGAGAATTTCTTTGCTTTGTTTCTAAAAATTACGTAGTTGCAGCATTTTTCATTATAATGCATTTAGGCTATTTAACTATATGTTCTAAACTAAGTTTGTACGAAATTTTTGGTCTGCCCCAAAGACTTCCAGGGTTCACTGTCCTGCAAAATAGACCTGCGTTACTTGATTGACGATGATACGTACTTGAGGTAAATGAATAGCTTCCACAGCCCAGTTTACTGCCTAATCTAAATACTGCATAATTTAGCATGCCCTAGCTTGTCTTCTAAAAATGAACAAACCCCCTCCTTTTTTATTTTTTAATAAACGGTATTTGGGCATAGAAAAATTTTAGTGGAATCTCACTAAGGGTGACTCAAGTAGACCGTAAGTCCCAGTTTACTATATTTGGTCTATGCTGTATTGATCTGGTGGTGTGCTTTTTTTTTTTTTTTTTCTTTTGCCTGAATGTCATCAAGCACAAAGGAAAATGCCTTTAGCAGTTCCCCATAGCTTTAGGCAATGGTTAATTTTGTCAGCTGAACTTCTGATTGTCTTGAATCTTGGTTACTAGCTTGACAAGAGCTAGTTTCCATCAGCCATGTAGGTTGGCATTATTTAAAGGGAGATATCCTTTTTTTCTCTGATTGTTACTATCTCTGTTATCAGCCTCTTTTCTTCCCTGCCCCTTGGAGCTGACATCAGATTACGTAGTTTGAATGCTAACTCTGATCCTATGTAAAATTTACCAACATAGCTCACCTCTTTGTTTCTACCTTGATTTGCCAACACATCCCCGAGGATGACGAAATTCATTAAATGTAAGTGTCGATAGTTCTCAGGTCCTCAGCCAATTCTTTTAAAGGTGTTGGATGAGACGTCTGAGGTCTTGAAAATTTAAAACTTTCCATCCCTTGTTGGACCAGAAAGGTTTTTCAGGATAAGATAACAATGTTTCATCTGATCTCCCCAAACAGTCCACAAAAAAAAAGCTTACTGCTTCTGCATCAGTATTGCTGGTCCTGTTGCGATCACACTGAAGTGTTGGGGCTCCTTGTGTTTCTGTCTTCCTCTTAAGATCTTTGGGTTGAGTCCCTTCCTGGACAACGGACTGGTTTACAAAACTAGGCCTACGTACAATCCAGACTTCAACAAGATCACCTGAAAAATCAGGACATCGTCATCTCTTAGGACCATATTCTGTACCTAATTTGTCACTTTCCCACTTTTTGTCCTTGATCTTTCTACTGTGTTTTCTTACAGGGATTTTCACTTTCAAAGTTTCCTTCACTTTGACAGGCTTCTCATCCCAGTTCCCTGAAGGCAAGGCGCATACTATTGTTCGAGTTTAGAGCCAGTAAACAAAAGAAAAACATCACTGTCATGTTTGGAGGACTTCTTTGCAATACGGTATAAAGTCTTTTCAAGGGAACAGCCTTTAAGGAAGAAAATGAACAACGTTAGTGGATGTGTTATCATCAGCCAGTCACGTGTCCGCTGTACAGGAATTAAATAAATTTCTTAGTAAAGCTTCTGAGTTCAGTCAGACTAAGGAAACTGAACGTACTGCGTTTCGGTTAGATAATGAAAATCTTTTCTGCTTAAAATCTTTAGTGCAATGCTGTGCAGAACTGCAGGGGAATCAACTATGTGAGTTAACTACCAGCTTGCTTTTAAACAGTTAAATGTCATGTGGTGATGGTCCTGAAAAATTACCTTTCATGGAGTGCAGAAGTATCTGTTGTGGGGTTTTCATGCATGGCTAAGTTTCAGCCCACTAGACAGCTTCGTTAATTACAGCTGGCTCGGTGCTCTGCTAAAGCTAGAATGCTTCTGCCTCCTAATGCAACAGGAGCTAGAAATCCCATCTGCATTTGAACTGTGTTACACCAGCATCTCTTCAGAGATGCCGCTGAATTCTTAAGTAGTCTGTATATGAGGCTGTAACTTTTTCCATAAATAGAATTTTATTTCAGCTGATTAATATTTTATCTAAGTAGTGTCACTTTAAGCCCACTTAAAACCCACTTTCAGAGGGTATTTTTTAAGCTTTTGCATTATAAAGCAAAAAACGTGCCATGCTTCAGGATTTTTTTCTGCTCTACCCAGTTTTGACATCAAACACGAAGCCTATAGATTATATGAAGCCTGAAGATTGGCTATAGATTGGTTTTCACTGTAATTCTGGAAATAAGTTTACCTTTATTTCTGCATAGACAATCTTGACATTTTTGTCATGCAGTTAAACACATTCCTTATTTTCTTGTATGACCTCTTGTACTTAGAATTTTGTTTTCACAACGCATTCTTTAAATTTTTTTTTCATAATGTATGTCTGACTGACTGAACTATTTAAGGGGAATTATTTTCTGTTGTGATTTCTAAGAAGGTTTTATGTTATGAATAGGCTGATCCTTACCCTAAAGAGGCTAGGAGGTAAGCAAGTAAGCGATAAAGGTTGTAAAACATTTAACATTTACTGTGAAAAATTGATGCTGCCTTGTTGAACAGCAACCACAGTGCTGAATATTTTTGATGACAGGAAATATTTTGTTGCTGATTCAATAGAAAAGATGAATGAAGGGAACATCCATCAATTAAGGACAAATACATTATCCAATAAAAGGACCTAAGTACTGAAGTTGAGCAACAGAATGTTATCAGCAATGTAGAGGCTGTGAACTTTTCGTTTTGCGTTGAGAGTGTAGAAGAACGTTATCAGAGATAAGACAGGAAGGTCAAAAATTCAGCTGAATTTGAAAAAAAATCCTGAGGAGCTGTTGCACAGCATCCTAGCAGAAGTACTTCTTCGCCTGTGTTGAAGTCAGTATTCCTCTCACTTTTTTTCTCATGAGGTGATAAAATCTCATTTATTCGACTCCCAGAAAAGAGGCCTTTAGATTTTGCAAAGCCCCCTGACTCTGTTGGAAGCGCTGCGTTGGTACCTGTGTTTAACGCTCGCCTAGTGACACTGCCACAAGTTACACATATTCAGGTTTGTGTGTGGCAGATGAGGTCGCTTACTCCAAGTGGTTCATAAACCCACGTCTTCAGCTTGAGAATTACACCGGTTATGTGTACTTAGGCTGTAGGTTGCCACTGGTGAGCGAACTGGTGTGATTTCTGTAATTTATACCTGAAAGAGGAAGTATCTGGGGATCACGGACTTTTCTGGTACTTACAGGACTTTGCTAAGTCTTCCGTTGTAGTTCAGTATATGGCTGTAGGTATTTCAAGAAGTGGGGTAATCATCATTGCTGTTTTGCTGTTCTTAAGGTCATGAAGCATAAAGTTTTGAGGAGATACTATTTCTATAAAAGATTTCATTTGCTCCTTTAATGAAGCGGTGTGCTGTCATCAGGTAGGTCTGTGAACCTTAATTTGCAAATGTCCTTGTAAGTGGTGATGGCAATGGCCATCAAATACAATTAATTTTGTTTTTTATTCCCTGAAACAAGACCTAGAGCTACATTCAATAAAGGGCTTAGAATATAGAGTCAAGCCTTTCTCTTGTTTTCCCTCATCACCTGAATCTTGTGTTCTTTACTGCCTGGTGACATAGCTGCACAAGAAAGAACAAGGTGTGCTCTTACTTAAAATAATATATAGCTTGAGGTCTGTAATTTGCTCATATCTATATATATAGCATGAAGCTTTTGTGAGTTGCATTCCTAGCATCAGAATATTCAAAATTGCATGTTGTCATATTTAGAATATCGATAGGTCATTGTAGGAATTAATGGAGTAGTAAATTGATAGACCTTGTCCAAATTTTAGACATTCTTTGTATGCAAGCACTGGAGAAAGTGCTGATAACATTTTTGTGGCCTGTACTAAGAGTGATAAGGAAAAAACAATTGACGAGATAGGTGGAAAAAAAACTTGAGAAACAAGGTCAAGTAAGAGATAAGAGAGAAGCAGCATAGATGTCACCATTGAAGTATGTGGGAAGGAAAGATACTGCAAGAAAAAATTATCTCCCAAAGTATCTGATGTTACTGCAAATTTAGGGAATTTTAATGACTAGGTGAAATGCAATTTGCTACCAATTCTTGACCGGGACTGTCAGGGGAAAGACAAAGGAGC